GTACCCCGAGATAAAAATCGTGGACCCATAGACAATCGACCACGCTGATTCCGAATATCGCCTTCCCCCGGACTCTAATCGCATTTGAAAATTTCGAAGTCCGGTGATATGGAATCTTATAAGAATCTTATAAGAATAACGTACGAGTTTTGCTGATTCTTACCAATTTCTTATGAATTCTTGTGAAATTCTTATAAGATTCTTATAAGATTCAGCAAAATTCTTGTCACTTTCGTGGAAGATCTTATATAAGAATTGAGTAAGATTTTTATAAGATTCTTATAAGATTTCACAAATTTTTTTTGTCTAGGGGACAATGTCCTAAGTGAGATTAGCACTTAGAAGAATCACCGCACACGGACAACCGAACGGGGAAAAGAAATGACCGAAGCGAAACGATTGTTCTCTTTCTTTCTTATTGTGAATATATTTTACCAGTGTTTCGTTATATTCGAAGTCGTTTCGTCCCATCTTTTTTTTTTTTTTTTTTTTTTTGTCGGAAATGCTTTTTATTTTCTTGATAATCAAGCAAAACAAATGATAAAAAAGATTAAGTTACGAACCGTTTAGTAAGAAAAAATGTAAAACGGAAAACAAAACACTGTTTCGGAGAAAAATGCAAAAACTGAGATCCTATATGGACAAAGAAAAATTTCATAAATTTCATACATGCGCACAATTTGACGTTCACACATGTATATAGTTCTTATTGTTCCTCTTTATGTTGTTATAGTTATTATTCATTTTAAAAATTTATTTGCCATAACCAGTGATGGGTGATTCTTGTGATGTTGATAGAACTTGAGGAACAGCTTGTGGGCGTTGTTGTTGAACGAGATCACTAGATAATCCCATGTCGGTCTGTTTGAATTGACTTGATGAACCGTATCCAGAACTGCTGACAAACGGTTAGTGTTTAATGATATCGACTAACGGCTGGACTTGACCACTTCCATAAGATTGTTGTCTGCCATACTGACTTTTTGATGTGCGAACGAGATCATTAGATAATCGCATGGCACTTTGTTTGAATTGACTTGATAAACCGTATCCAGAACTGACAAATGGTTGCTGAATGCTGATATCGGCTAATGGCTGAACTTGACTACCACCATAGGATAGTTCAGATGTGGGCACTTGTTGTTGACTTGAATAGGAAGTCACATCATCAAATAATTTTTCTTTTTGGACGAGTTTATGATGTTTTCGTCTATGAAGTGGTTGTTCTCCAAGTGCTTTCTCTCCATGACCACTGTTTCGTTGACTTGATAAGTCAAGTGATGGTCGTTGATTCGAGTATTGTGGAACTGAATATGCATTCCAGGCTGGTTGCACTTGAATGTTGCCTTTTGAATAGTAATCCGATTGATGTTGGACCTGAATTTGAACACCAGGCCATGAGCATGCTTTTTCACCATTATTCCAAATTAAACCACCTGGACAAGTTTCGACGAAAAATCGGTCACCATCGCACATAATAAAACCTTTGTCACTGAAGCCCAATGGAAGTGTATCATCTACTCGACATGGTTCTGGTAATGTTTGCTGACAGCATGGACCATATGTATCACCTTGACAAATGCAGACGTATGTTAAAGCAGCACCAAATCGAAAACTTTGACATTGTCCTTGACCACATGGATTCTGAAGACAAGCACTTACATCCAATTCACATTGTGTGCCACCTATTCCTTGTGGGCAGTCACATCTGTATGATGAACCTTCTTCAACGCATCGACCACCGTTGAGACATGGGTTCAATGCACATGGTGATTCAGTCTGGCCCGCTTTTCTTTCGCATCGAGCTGTGGCGGTACTGTAATGCAAACCATCTGGACATGATAATTCGGCTCCTTTTGAACTATCAAGACAAACGATGAATTTTCTTGTTGTAGCTGGATGAGGGATAACAGTCTCAGGTCGTTGTCCTTCGCATATTTGATCAGCAAGCGTTAATTGAACTCTAACTTGTTGGTCTATTTGACCACTGCCGACAATTTGTTGATTCGAGTATCCTAATGTATTCAATGGTTGTTGTTGATATGAAGATTGGATGGATTGTGTGATTGGACGATCATTTTGAACATTTACTTTCAACATGCTGGATTCATAACCAGACCATTGTGGAGTTATATCTAGTCGTTTTTCAATTGACTGAAAAGCGTTTTCTTCTTGACTCCACAATAAACCAGATGGACATGGTTTGAAATGAGTGATTTCACCATTGCATTGAAGATAGGCATATTTACTAAAGGCAAATGGATAATATTGGACGAATTCACGACTTTCTTCTGAACACGGATCTGGAACAGTCTGACTACAACTTAAACCATATGACCGTCTGTTGTTGCAAGGCATACATAATCTTGTGGATAATCTTCGGCTCTCAATGTCCAGCATTCAGCATCTGGCCCACATGGTTGTTTTGCACAACTACCAATCGGTACTTCGCATCTTTCACCAGTGAACGCTTCCAAACACGTACATTTGAATGTTTGAGGTGATGTTGCATAATATTGTCCACCATTCATGCAAGGATTTTCTTTGCACACAGCTTCTTCATCTGTAACTCTTTCACATTGATCGAGTGCGTCATTAAATACTAATTCAATTGGACATGACATAATTTCATAACGTATTTTATCAAGACAGACAATGTAGCTGCTTCTATCAGCTGGATTTGGTAGACGTTGACCAATCGTTGCAGACGAACATGGGGATGGACCTTGTGTCTGTGGAATTATTGGTTTTTCATCAAAACTCATCACACTCATTTGACCATAACCAGTTGTTGGAAATGTTTGAATTGGTCGTCTTTGATCAAAGTTCAAAATGCTGCTCTGACCATAAGCGGAACTTGGTTGAATTTCATCCTTTACTGCAAAATTATATTGTGGTGTCATTGGAATGCTGCTTTTTCGTACATTGTCGAAGGAAATTGGACGGCCTACGAACGACGATGAACCTTGTGTTTGAACATTTCTGTCATTAACAAGTCCACTGTAGTCGGCATTTTGTCTTGATGCCGTTCTATAACTATCTGCATAATTAGCATTAGAATACGTGGACATCAGTGTGACCAACAATGCACATTGTAATAACAACAAAGCCATTGTATAGATTTGAAACAACGATGGATAAGAAAAACCACTTCAACTTTTGCAGACCGATTAGTAAGCAAACTGACTTTCGTCCCATCTTTTTTTTTTTTTTTTTTTTCTGTTATATTATATATTGAACCGTGTTGAATTAAACAGTAAAGTGGCATAACACAAACAAAAAACAGAGATAAGATTTAATAACGAAATGTTATAAAAATGGGGTGAAAATGAACGTTAATGAGAAAAAAAAACAATAAAAAAAAAAGCAAAGAACAAAAAAGCAAAGAAGCATCTGATTAAGGCGAAAACAGATAAAAAGAAGAGAGTGACTGAAGTTTAGGAGACAAAAGTAAATAAACTTCTGACTGAGAGAAAGCGCGGATGGACAGACGGAAATCAAAAATTTTTTTCCCTTGGCTTTAGGTAATCATACTAGTTAACCATTGTCGAAGGGGAGATGGTTTACAGATGCCCGGAAAAGTCCGGTCACCATGTTCATGCGTCCTGGGGCTTTATCGAAAAGGACTGCATTTCGATAAGCCCAAATTGTTTTTATGAAATTTCCAATTTGGAAAATTATATTTTTACGTTGTGCCGCAGTGAGATCATATGAAAGAATATTTTTAAGGTAGACGATTTCATTCGTCTCCCTCTCAACAGACACATGAGTCTCATCGGCAATCGAGGCTCGGAGCAGGTCATACACTGGCTGGAAAAAACTGCACTCGATCCATAGATAATAAGCTGATTCAGGTTGATCGCAGAAAACACATTGCTTTTCCTGTTCAGTTCTACCAACTCGAGCTCGTATGGGTAGTGCGTTGTTCACTAATTTTACCCAAATCTCATGTGCATGTGTTGACATTTTACTCGACAGTAGGAGTTTAAAAAATTTTATATCTTTGAGATGATTCATCCTCCGGTAGCACACTGGTAATCGAAAATGATACTTATAAATGAGCTGCCAATAAATGGATAAACCTGTTTTTGGGATGATGGATGGGTTTCCATCCATTAACCATTTCACTGTTCTATCCGCTGCTTCGTGAAATAGACTAGTTCCCTGCTGTATATGCGGCACCAGGTTTGACCATAATGAAGGATCAAAACACTGTAACTGTGTAGCCATAGACTGTAGAGCATAAAATTTCCACTTCGCTGGACTATTAGACATTAAACGTAGACCACATTTAATTCTAAACCCTTCTACCATTGTTTTAATATCTAATAAGGCAAATCCTCCATCTACCTTTTTACCAATGATAGTTTTAAAACTAATTGTGGGGGATTTTCCTCGCCATACGAATGCATTTGCGATCTTTTGCAGTTCATTTAAGCTGGTTGAGTGGACTGTGATGAGGGAGAGACGGTAGACGATACAACTAATAGAGAAAACTTTCACTATTGTACATCTCTCTAAATGAGAGAGGCTAACTTGCGACCACATCCCCAAGTTTTGTTTTAACGACGTTTTGAGTTTAACAAATTCGGAAAGTGGAAAATGCCCCCGTTTGTCAATCGGCACACCTAAGAACCGGCACCAGTCAAGTTTAACTTGTCC